ATGAGGGGACACGGAGGGGCTGGGGAGGAACGGGGGTTTGGGGGCGCATGGAGGGGCAGGGGGGCTGGGGGAACCAAAGGGTCTTGGGAGGTCATGAGGGGGCTGGAGGGGTCCCTGGGGGGCTGAGGGCTCACCCCACAGAGCTGTGGGTGCGGGGATCCCACAGGGAGCTCGGGGGATGTCCCGGGGAGCCCAGGGGGTAGGTGTCAGTGAGAGGCGGGGGTGACCCGGGGGTCGGGGGGTCCCGCAGGGTCTGGGGGTCCCGGAGGAGTCGGTACCGGCCAGAGTCTCGGTGGCCTGGGGCTGTGGCACCAGCCGGTGCCTCTGGCGCTTCCAGCCCTGCGGCGGGGCGAACAGCTCCTCGGCCCCCGCGGCCCCGTCCCCCACGCAGAATGTCTCGCAGGCAGCCTGGGGGTACGGGGGGCGGTGGGTGCCAAGCGCGGGGGCCTGTGGGTGCCCCCAGCCCTGGTACCTGAACGCCGGGCGTGCCCAGGTGCAGGGCGGCTCCTGAGGGCCCCCCAGCCCCCGTACCTGGAACACCTGGCGTGCCCAGGTGCGGAACGACTCCTCCTGGGCGCACAGCTCGTCACCCTCGCCCAGGGGCAGCACCCGCTCCCCGCCCAGCTCCTCCAGCCGCGTGTCCACGGCCCGCGCAAAGGCACAGAAGTGGGGGTACGCCCGGGACCCCAGCCCGAACACCGCGAACCTGGGGGAGAGGGGGGTGCGTGCTGGTGTGAGCCCCGGTATGGGGCACCCCCCGCCCCAGCAGGGCAGCGTGCCCGGGCAAGGAGCCCGGCCCCATCCCTGTTCCCGTGGCTGTGGCCATCCCTGCGGCCTGGGTACTGCAGGACTTCCGACATGCCCAGGCTGCGGTGCCCATCCCGTGCCCATCCCGTGCCCATCCTGTCCCTGTGGCCGTGCCCATCCCGTGCCCATCCCCATGGCTGTGTGCCCTGTCCCCATGGCCATGCCCTGTCCCTGTGGCCATGCCCATCCCATGCCCATGCCGTGCCCATCCCCATGGCTGTGTGCCCTGTCCCCATGGCCATGCCCTGTCCCTGTGGCCATGCCCATCCCGTGCCCATGCCATGCCCATCCCGTGCCCATGCCGTGCCCCGTGGCCTCGGTACCGCAGGGCTCCCAAGGTTCCCGCACTGTCTGTGTTGCTCAGCTGCCGCCGCTTCTTCTTCCAGGAGGACACGAGCTGGTCGGACTGGGAGACGCTGTTGAACCGCAGCTTGTAGCTCCTGGGAGTTTAGGAGGGTGAGGGGGGTCAGGGGGGATCCTGCCCCAGGCCCAGCGGGGACCCCCCAGGACCCCCGGGGTGCTCACATGGGCGGCTCCGCCTGGGAGGTGCCGGTGTAGGGCGATGTCATCTCCATCAGGGCCTTGGAGAAGCTCTGTGGGGGGCAGGATGTCACCCCCACATCCCATCCCCACCCATCCTCACCCCATCTCCATCTGCAATCCCTCCC